ACAAGTTGCATTAGTAGGTAAGAAAGAAATTTATCCACGAGTTTGTTTGAGCTTAAATATGGCATTCTTTAGGCGGTAGTGGATGTGGAAAGTCGACAACAGTACAGTTAATTGAACGCTTTTATGATCCAATGATAGGCCGATTAGTAAGTAAATAATAATAGTGTTATATCTCGCTCATCAAACATATTCACATTTTCCTCTTCAATTAGTTGGCGGATTCAAAAGATATACGAAGTCTTGATTTGGAATGGTATCGATCACAAATTGGTATCGTATCTCAAGAACCTATTTTATTTGATATTTCAATCAAGGATAATATTGCTTATGGTGATCATTCAAGAGTGGTTTCTACCGATGAAATAATAGAGGCAGCTAAAAGTGCTAACATTCATGATTTTATTCAGCAATTGCCTGACGTAAGATAACACAGAAGAGACATAATCGAAGTATTTAATTATTGCTTTTTTCTTTAGGGTTATGATACTAATTGTGGGAATAAAGGAACACAGCTATCAGGTGGACAGAAACAGAGAATAGCGATAGCACGAGCGCTTATTCGCAATCCAAAAATTCTATTACTCGACGAAGCAACAAGTGCATTAGATACAGAAAGTGAAAAAGTTGTACAAGAGGCATTAGATCGAGCGCAACAGAATCGAACATCGATAACGATTGCTCACAGACTTTCAACAATTCAAAATGCTGATTTAATTTGTGTGCTAAGGCATGGAGTGATAGTTGAAAGCGGACGACATGATGAGTTATTAGCTAAACAAGGTTATTATTTCAGATTAGCTCAAAAAAAGCTAAAATAATATTAATTAACTTCGATTACTTAAATGATTTTTATTTTTTTAATTTTCTTCTTGTAATTTATATTATTACCCGGTGACTTATGGACTTTCTTTCATAAAAGCGTTAAAAATTAATAAATAAGAAATTTATTTGAGTTCTCATCTACAAAGAAACTCTCAAACACAAAAACATTTTCGTTTTATTGTCAAAGCGAGAAAATTTTGTTATTAAATAACTGTTGTACAATTCAGAACTATGTGCAGGGTAGTTGTCTATTGAGTTCAGTCCATACCTTATGAAATTTTTTTGAGTTTTAGCTGGCATTAAAGTCCTAATCCTTCCTTATCTTGCGTCCGTCCTTCGTATCTCTTGAAGACTATTGATAATCACTCAA